TTATATGTACATATTGAGGAATTACGCATCACCAGTGTACAGAAATATTTCGCTTAACAGTTCGTTAATAATACAGTTGAGGATGTCATTTCGGAGCCGTCCGGCGTAAACATTAATGAGAGAATCAGTTGTTACTGCGATTTAATTCAAAATAATTACTGATTATCTAAAAGATTATATGGCTTGTGTAACCACTATAAGATGGTAGCTGACTAAAACAATTGGAAGATGTTTATGAGAGTTGGATGGAGTAAATTAGGAAGAATAAAATAGGTTTAGAAAAATTTTCGAAATTATCGCAGATTATAGAGAAGAAGGGGAATGTAGAGTATGGAATTAGGTTATGTGGGGTAAGATGCTAATGAATTTATGCATGCCGAATCAGGCTATGGTAGTCGTAGAGACAACACGTGCTTCTTTTGAACACACAACTCAGGTTGTTTGATCCTGATGGTTATTGCTTGTGTATTTTGAAGGATCCCGATTCGAGTAACTTTTGGTGATTAGAACGCTGTACAGAATGAGAAAAGACTCATTCACATCCACTATATGGTTCGTTTCAATCAAGTATTCTAATATATACCTGATAATGGTCTCTACTTCACCGCGCTGGAAGGTTATATTCTTAGAGCAGTGGCCTGAGTAACTGGCTCCATAGAACCAATCGAACTGGAGTGGCCAGCTTAGGCAATTCAGCTTTCATTCTCTGTGTGACCGATGCGAGTGTGGGAAACAAACTTTTCATTTTTACCAGCATTAGAGATCCTTTGAATTGATCTACGTAGTTTGTGAACTAATGTCTCGCTGATAACGTTTCCTCTCAATTGTAACCGAATGTATGGCGATTGTCTGCTAGCCTTTGAGACATTCCTTCCTGCTATTTTTTAAATCAAACATTCCTGTATGAATCTATCAGGAAAGCCATTTTTGACTAGTGTGTTGTGCAAAGTCACCAATCCCTCCTCAATTGTATTTTCCTAAAAAGCAGCCTTTATTCTGTAACTTAAAGTTTTTACTAAGTTTCCTTTGTAGTGAAGGTGGATGGAACTAAGAAAGTGTGTATTTGCTCCGTCCATTCTGTAGCACGTTCTCATCAACTTGCCAAAAGTTACTCGAATCATTATACTTCGAAATACACAAACAATAACAATCAGGATCAAACAACCTCAGTTATGTATTCACAAGAAGCGAGTTGTGCCTCTAAAACTACCATAGCCGGATTCGACATGCATAAAATCGTTAGCATCCTACCTCAATTCACGAAATGCTAAACGAAATTTCTCTCTATATTTATGTGTAATTCGTCAATATGTACATACAACTGTAGAATCTGAAGATGAAGGAGAAGTTGTTGAAAGGAATATTCTTTATCCACTCAAATAACCGTATCATTAGATCTTCAGGAAGTAGATTTCGAACCACGTCACTAGCGAGCATCACATGGTTATCCATTTCGGATTTTCATCGTTTTCTGAAAGACGAATAGGATTCTACAATGAACTAACCTTGATAACCATTTTACAGGAAGTGTACGACATTTTCATCTTTGAATCAGAGGTTCGAAAATAAAATTTGTTCTGTTGTCATGTGAATTCCATGAATGGTATTTCTCGTCTTTTAGTTTTTCATCAATAAATTTCAGTAGGAATCTATTTTTCCCTAGACGATTCTTGGTTTTTAATAATTTCCTAACTGTTCACATCAATTCATATCAGTCAGCTAAGTTGAACATATTTATGCATTATACAATGAGCTACAACTATTGTGTAATGCCTGAAGATCCTCTCTGGTTACTCAAACCTCAGTAAGTGGAGCTGTGCTCAAACTCCTCACTTACAACTCCTCTCTTAACTGACTTCAGTCTACGATGAAATTACTCATCTACTGATATTTATTTAGTAAAACAAACAATGTGAGCGAAGAAATATTTCTTTCAATTAGTTCCTCATCAATGGCTCTACACTAATGTATGTAGCATTTTCAAACGTAAAATTACATACCAATCTAGTGATGAGAGTTGTTCAATGAAAGGTTATCAATCTCAAAGTATCAAGAAGGTGATAATTGATCAGGTAATTAAGATCACCAAGCCGGATAAAGGCTCAGGGGTGGTTATTATGAACAAAGCCGAATACCTAGATAAAATGAACAGACTTCTCAGTGATGACAGTAAATTTCAGAAACTACCAACCAATACTGACATGACAGAGAAGACGGAGAGGCAATTATCCGAATCCTTAAAAAGCTGAAACAGCAAGGCTTCATTTCACAAAATGAGTATGAAACACTCAGACCTACTGGCACAGTAACACCGAGGTTGTATGGTTTACCAAAGGTGCATAAGAATGGATTACCACTCCGACCGATTCTTGACATGTCAAACTCTCCATACCATGCGACGGCGAAATGGCTAGTACAACTCTTGAAACCATTGCATAAGGAGGTTGTAAAGCATAGCGTCAAAGATACTTTTCACTTTATCGATAAAATAAGAGATTTGAATGTGAATAATAAGTCTATGATATCCTTAGACGTATCATCCCTATTCACAAATGTCCCTCTGATGGAAACAGTGGACTTCATATGTAGCGAACTGGAAAAGAGAAACATAGAAATTGGAATTACGGCATCCACCTTGAAAGAGCTTCTCTTACGATGTACAATGAATGTACACTTTCTCTTCAATAAGGAATTCTATAGACAGTCAGACGGTGTCGCTATGGGGTCACCACTAGGCCCAATCTTAGCGGACTTCTTCTTAGCAAAATTAGAAAATGGCCCTCTGGAAAGCATCATAAGCGGGTTAGAATTTTATTGCCGTTATGTAGATGATACATTCTTGATTGTGAATAACGAGGACGATGCAAGGATCATACTGGATGAATTCAATGGCGTCCATCCAGCAATAACCTTCACTATTGAAACAGAAAGTGACGACAGCATCACCTTCTTAGATGTCCGATTGACAAGGAAGGTGGATGGAACTATAAAAAGAAGTGTGTATCGGAAACCAACGTCAACAGGTCAATACACCCACTTCTTGAGTTTCGTCCCCTTGCAATATAAACGAAATCTCGTTAAATGTTTGGTCCATCGGGCGAGACTCATCTGTTCAGATGATACTTTTGACGAAGAGCTTCAAATTATCCACGATCTACTCAGTAGTAATGGATATCCAGAAACGTTCCTGGCTAAAAATATGAACACATCCAATATGAAAACCAGAATGCCTACAGTCTCCAAGAAACCATTGTTCTAAGACTACAATTTCGAGGTGACATCATCAGCGAAATTGTGACACAACGCTTAAGAAATGCCATAAGAAGATCATTTAATGCCGCCAAGTTATGTTGTGTTTTCTACAGCCGGCCGATGATGACCACACGAACTAAAGACAGACTCCCTGACTTCTCCTCTTCTATGTGCATTTACCAGTTCAACTGCTCCTGTGGAGCTAGTTACATTGGACGTACAGTTAGGCAAGTCCGTCGCCGAGCATCATCCTTCATGGCTAAGTAAGGGGGAAACCAGACTGACACGAAGCTCAATACTCTCTCATCTGATTGACACCGGCCACCGAGTTAACATTCATAATGCCTTTAAAGTTATTTATCACATTCCTTCTCACCTCACCCATCCTCTACGAGTTCGTCTTTTACATACAGCAGAAGCCATAGGAATCCACCTACACAAGCCAAGTCTGTGTGTTCAGAAGAGATTCGTACAGCCTCTTTCTTTGCCTTGGCCATCTGTATAGCTCATTTATTACAACAAGACTCTTCATTTCATCCACCACACAATTCACTATAACTAATATTTTAATAGCTCCATTATTATTATTATTATTATTATTATTATTATTATTACAGACTTAACCATCTTTCTCTCCCCCTACTGTCTCTAATTACCGTCAACAATTTACCATTTTACGTAACAGTTCATTTTTGCTCTTTAGTTATCATTATACAAAAAATCAATTATGTAAGAACCTGTTCACAAAATCTTTCTACGATAATTAATCTTTGCTTTAGTTAACTGTCTTAATTACCTGATCAATTATCACCTTCTTGATACTTTGAGATTGATAACCTTTCATTGAACAACTCTCACCACTAGATTGGTATGTAATTTTACGTTTGAGAATGCTACATACATTAGTGTAGAGCCATTATTTATATTATTATTATTATTAGTCCCTTGGGTTCCAAGTGGAACACACGGCTTCAGTAGCACGTCTCCAGTGAACTCTCTTCTCTGAAATCTTTTGAACATGGCTCCACGACTGCCCACAAGCTCTCATTTCTTCCTCACACGACCTCCTCCATGTCACCCTCGGACGTCCAACTCGTCGCTTCCCATGGGGATTCCACTCGAGCAACTGGCCTGACGCGTGATGTCCACAGTCGGCCTTCTCAGTGCATGGCCAATCCATCTCCACTTCTTCCTGCATATTTGTTGCGTGATAGGTTCTTGATTGGTTCGTTCCCAGAGCTCCTTATTGCTTATTCTCATTATTCTGGCTATCTGATCTTCAGTAGCGAGCCAGCGTAAGCAATTGTTGATGAATGTCTGTAGTTTATTGGAAATCCCTTTCGTGACGCGCCAAGTCTCTGAACCATACAAGAGCACTGACTTGACGTTGGTGTTGAAAATCCGAATCATGTCCCACATGCTGAGTGCAGAAGATCTCCACACTGGTTTCAGGCTAATGAACGCCCGTCTTGCTTTTCCGATTCTGACTTTGACATCCTCGTCTGTCCTGCCTGTAGTTGAAACAGTGCTTCCTAGATAGGTGAAGGAGTGTAGAGCCATTGATGAGGAACTAATTGAAAAGAAATATTTCTGTGCTCACATTGTTTGTTTTACTAAATGTCTAAAATGGGAATTTTTCGCATTACTGATATTTATTTACTCTCAATTTTTATAATTTATTGTGAAAAGTAGAGTGGACTCATTCAAGATTCTACATCATGTTATTGCATATTTTCACTTTTTTCAAGGTGACAATATTTCATGAATGTAGACCAGAATTTTTACATGATATTGTCTTAAAAATGCGACCATTGGTGTTGACACCCGGAGATTTAATCTGTCGTAAAGGTGAAATAGCACGTGATATATACATCATTGCAGATGGTGTATTACAAGTTCTAAAGTGAGTCAATGATGATTATTGATAATTATTGTTTACAAGATAATTTCATTTTACTCCTAAACTATATTTGTTAAATATTTTGAAGCTGATCGTTCTGATATTCTTTTAACATCTGTAAACTAACTTGATATCATGACAGGTATTAATTGCTGAACAGTTAGTCAGCAGAATATAAGATAAGAAGTAGAAATGTAGACCTGAAACTAGAAATTCAACGTTAATATCCATGAAGTTCGGTTATTTAAACGATGAAGTTTTTTTTCTCTTCTCCAATAAAGTGACCTCTCAACAAATTGGTATATAGGCTTCTCAGTCTTACCAAAATGCTTTTATTATTCCAGACTGACAAACAAAAAATATCAGCGTAGAACACCATACACAAGCGCGTCGTTGGAAGCTGCTATTTCACCAATAGTCTTCAACTCTTAAATAGTCCACACTTCTCTAAACAACTGAGACCAACAGTCAGAGACTCAATCAAATGGTGCCACATCTTGATCAGGTCACCCTGAATTCCCTCCTAAAATATCCAACATCTCGTAGTATTGCACATCGAAGTAGGTGGTGGCTCAGCATGAGCAGCATATGTGCAAACCATGTCAGTCGACTTGCCCATTTTGACTAGTATCCTTCACCTAACCTCAGCATTACTCATGCAGGGATTCTAGACTACATTAGAAAAGCTATGATGACATTTGTGGTCAAAAACTTGTAACTTCTTTGTATCCTTCCACCTTAAAGACTGAAAGCCTGGATCATTCATACTAGAATATAAAACAGTATGATACTGCATGACTGTTCAAAATACCTTTATAAAAACAGAGCAGTTCATTGCGTAACAACTATCAATGGGGTTACCTGCAAATAAAATATGAAATTTAGTCAGTCAAAGCCAGGATCGGAAAAGCAAGAGAGGTGTTCATTAAGCTGAAACCAGTGTGGAAATATTCTGCACTGCACTCCAATCACCATTAAGCCTGAACAACATCCGGATTTTCAACACTAATCTCAATCAAGTCACTGCTTCCATGTGATGGTTCAGAGACTTGGAGCGTTACGAAAGGTATTTCCAACAAACTACACACATTCATCAACAACTGCCTACACTGGCTCAATACTGAAGCTCAGATGAACAGAATAATGAGGATAAGCAAGAAGGAACTGTGGCTGGCTGGCTGGCTGGCTGACTGGCTGGTAGGCAACGAACCAACCAAGAACCTTTCAGTCAACGAATATGCAGAGGGAAGTGTAGATGGATTGGTCATGCACTGAGAAGGCCGACTGTGGACATCATGCATCAGGCCAGTCACTCGAGTTGAACCCAGTTGGGAAGCTACGAGTTGTGTGTCTGAGGTGTGGTTGACATGGAGGAGATTGCGTGATTAGGAAATGAGAGGTTGTGGGTAGTTGTGGATTCAGGTTGAAAAGATTGTAGATAAGGTAGTGGAATGTAGGTGTGCTACTGAAGTGGTATGTTCCACTGGGAACTCAAGGGACAAATAATAATGATAATCCAACCTAAATACTGTTTATATTTCCTGATAGCTTTGACTTCTGAATGAGATGTATCCTGTAAATACGGTTAGTCCTGGACGAAGATTTCTAAATTATCAGTTAAATCAGCAGAATTTATATACAAACTTATAGACTTTAGTATCCACGTTATTATTCAGTGATGACGATCAGAGTCCTACTAATCTAGATTATACAATAGAATTGTTTATCAAATAATAAACGGTGTAACTATAAGTTCTTAAATTTCACCGAAAGCATGCCAACAGAATGAGACAAGTAAGAGTAGTGGTTTGATATTCCTCTCATTTTAATTTGAAGGTTTTTAGGGATTTAGTAATTTTTCAAGTTGATATATATCATCGACTGACATCAGTTGGAGGAACATTGGAAACCTGAGAGCATTGCACAGCTGTTTCGGGCTAGTATGGGACTTCTCAACAGTGCTGACGCACGATATCACCCGACCAAGGATAGAATACAGTAATTTTCAGGTTCTATGACCGGCGTCTTATCAATTAGCCGTTGGGTTGGATTCAAATGGTTCATATTTTCAACTTTTATCACTTCATGACATAGTACAACTGTCACTTACTTGTTATTAATGTGTAATTGATGATTAATTGGCCGATGGAAATGACTGAATAATAATTGGTTGGTTTGTTGATAATGATGTGATCTGTCTAAATGGTTGGCGTTCATGAACATGAATTTAATCGAGTTACGTAATTCCCCAAAAGTGAGTGAAGGTCAAGAAGACTGACAGATGTAATGGGTCTCAAATTGTATCACCTCATCATTTCGGTATTCTACTCTTAGCACTTTATAACCTCTCATATAAATATCTATGCAATGTATGTGTATTTGTGTGTGTAGTCAAATTCATCGAAATGTATTGTTTAAATCCACTACACGATTTAAGGAAATCAGGTCCTCTTATCGTCTTGTCAGTTGAAACTGTTGCTTTCATACGACGAATAAACTTTAAAATAATATGAATACAAACCATACGTCAAAAAATATTCAAATGATTAGGAATAGTCTTCTCGGTGTATTCCCAATGCATCTCCACCTTTTTCTCCTGCATATTTGTTGGGAGATAAGTTCTCGTTTGGTTGGTTCATTGTCAGGCCTGAGTCCCTCCTTGCTTATTCTTTCTCGCCTTCTCATCTGATCTGATCTGATCTTCAGTGTCAGTGTGTCAGTGAGCAAGCGTAGACGGCAGCTGTTGATGTGATGTATGTGTGCAGTTTGTTACAAATGCTTTTCGTAACGCGTCAAGTCTCTCAACCATCACATAGAAGCAGTGACTTGACTGAGATTAGTGTTGAAAATCCAAACCTTGTTCACGCTTTATGCGGAGTGGAGTGGAGTAGATCTCCACACTGATTTTAGATTGTTGAAGGCCTATCTTGCTGTTCTTCTGATCTTGGCTTTGACATCCTCATCTGTACAGCTGCCTTCAGTTGACACGATGTTGCCTAAGTAGGTAGGTGAAGGAGAGAACTTCGTTTGGGTTTCTCGCTTTGATGGTTATTCGTGCCTATTGTTGTTGCAGTTTTTGGTTGGGTATCTTCATCACTTGTGTCTTCTCTACGTTTACGTAAAGGAGGTCTTGTCTTTGCTGCTTCTTCTGTCACCTTGTTGGTTGGTGTATGAATGTAAATCTTCGAGTTTTTCTGACATCAGACATAAATCATCATAATTGGCGAAATTCAAATCTTCTAGAGTTTTTTCATCTGTCGAACAGCGTATGCCCATCTTTTTACTCCTCACAGCTTATTGCATAGACATGGTCGACCACAATCAGGAAAATGATCGGTGATAGTAGGCGGTAACCTTGTCTTACTCCTGTCTTCACTTGAAAGACGCGTCACTAAGCTTTTCATTGTGAATCACTTTGCATTTAGCATCATCTAGCTGTTGAGTGAGTTTGATAACGTTTTGTGGCACTCAAAGCGTAGTGTTCATGCAGCTGGCGAACTCCTTCTCAGCCGATGCTATTGAGGGCCTTTGCAAAATCTATGAAGTTGAGGTGAAGATGCAGTTGGCTGGTATTCTATGCTCTGTTGTATGGTGTTGCGTAGTGTAGCGTTTCAATTTTGTCCACCCCTGATTCATATACTTCCAATAAACACTTGATAGAAGTCATTTTGTAATTCATGGTCTATGAGGATTTTATTTTTAAAGTTGGAATTCATCGCAGAAGGACATGATTAGGTGAACCGTTGAAAACCTTGAAGCAGTGGTTAGATGTTCCGTTGTAGTTTGAGATTCTTTTGAGCTACTTTGGTGGGTTTTTGCGTTACGTCACGAATTCAAAGAAGTATAAAACTATCAACTTCGGCCCAGTGGCTGAACGAGTTATCTGTGAATTTTGAGGGTTCTGAGTTTAATCATTGGTGGAGTCGTGGGAGCATACTGCAGAGGAGTCCATTACTAGGGCGAAATAGTCTCTCAACCCTTTCGACGTTTCTAACAGTTCTCCAATTGATATCAGTCCGTGATGAATACTACCTCATAGCTAATTTTGTTTCCCTGAACTGTTGCCAAGAATTGGGTTAGTCCACTTTGTTTTTTTATGTACTATAACTCATGAAATTTCTGTTTACATTGTGTCCACCAGCGTATCAGTGCATGAGTGAAAGTATTCCCTTAGATTACTTTTCTCTTGAAGATGAATTTTATATGACTGACAATGCTAGTTGTTCCTTGAACCCGCTACCTATCAGGGTTGGCCTTGAAGTGAGCATTATTGATGAGTCCTAAAAACGGATGTAACAACTTCCCACTATCTATCTAACTGATGTCAATCTGTAGTGAAAATTAGCTTGAAATCAGTAAATGATCGAAAACTTTCGTTTCAGATTATAAACCATTCTTCACCTTTCATCTTTCAGTGATGACGAAACTACTGTGTAATCACAGAACCGCAGTTTTCAGTATAATCACTAATTCAGCCTAAAGAACATTACGGTATTAAAATAAAATTTTTGAGCTAAAAGTACCCATTATTGTACTGTGACCGACATCACAAATTTTCATCATCGTATTTATCCAACAAATTTCAGTAGGGATAAAGTTAATGAAATACATTCAAGTTATTGGTAGAATAGGAAAGTGGATCTTATGTTACAATACTGTGGATACATCAAACACCAGGATGTTGCTTATTAGCCTGGTACCAATTTATACCGGAACAGGCAGGCTTCAGGAAGTAAAAACCATGTGCGGACCAAATTGCGACGCTACACTACGCATCATCATACAACAGAGCATAGAATGGCAGTCAACTGGATCTCTACCTCAACTTCATCGACTGTGAGAAGGCCTTTGACAGCGTCGACCGAGAAGTAATTTGGAAACTGTTTCAACACTACGGAGTACCGCAAACCTTTATCAGCCTCATTCAACAACTATATGAAGACTCCATATGCCAAGTACTTCACAATGGGAAGCTCAGTGATGCCTTTGAACTGAAGTGAAGA